CCACTTGGGTATTCCCTCTAGTCATTACAAATTGACAGATGTGTGCTAGCCACAATACCCATTGTTCGCCTAAGTCTTTAAGCATCTCGGGACAACTTTTTTCAATTCCAGCATACTTGCCGTCCTTAAAGCATTCAAGTTTTTAACAGCTTCTGTGACTTCGTCTACTGAGGGCTAAAAGCGCTAGCCGCTGCTCTTCTTCAGAGTTTTTCTGCGGTTGCTCGTGGTTAACAATTCCTTAAAGTACTTTTTCCATGGCCGAAGTACATGCTCTTCCTTGGTAAGAGCACATTCAGACTTGTTTATCAAGACTCTAAGACCACCGTTCTTTCCATCTTGTAGGCGGCAAATAATCTTCCAGAACACTTAGTATGCCGCCTGAAAATTTGACTCCAGCACCATAACGGATTATTTCAAAACATCATCTATCCTTTTGGCGTATGGACAGTTATTCTTACTCAATTCGAGTTGAAGGCTATTCTTAGAATGCTGCATGTTTTCCCTGAAAGGGAATTTAACCTCTCATGTCCATAAAGAAAGTGAGCTCTGACGTTCAGGCGGCAGACCAACCTGTTTTAAACCATAATACAGTGAGACAGACACGATTAAACCGCCCTTAAAGACGTCCTATTAGGTTTCAGTATCAGTGGTTATCATCACAGTCTTTTCAAGTTTGGGACTCTTTTCTGCAGAAGATAATGTTTCCCGTTTGATTCTCTGATCGCTTCTGCCCCCCAGTCTTCGCATGTTATTCAGTCGTTTGCCGATGAAGGAATCAGTGACAAGGTGATGATCGATCGACAGTTTTGCGCCTCTCTTAACCAGAACATTCATTACAAAGCGTCATGTCGGACGATGCTGTTATCAAATCGATAATCGACTTCTGTGTACAAGCTTCCCCATACCAGGTATGCAAACGCACTTTTCTGTGAAAAAGCATTTCATTACAGACAGTTCTTTTTTGGCATAAAACCGCAACAGCGTCATGCCGCTACTGTGCAGTTCTCCAGTGCCGTTCTTTCCAATGACGCTTTTCACTTTTCACTGTCTGCCTTGACACGCGCATTGAAATTTCCCATTAGAATGATCGATTCCGCAGTCGGCGCTATTTACAGAGAACCTTCTGCTTCCCCGGGAAAGATTCATGCTCTCAGTCTAAATTATATGTATAGACCTGCAGCCGTAAGGTCAAAGCCTTAGTCTGCTGTAACTCGAGCTAGATGACTGTTACTAGTCCGGTGACAAGCGTCTATTCGGCGACTCTGTTAGCCATATTGGGTTGGATCAGAATATCGACACCAGCCTGAGCAATCTTCATGTCGACACCTGAGTAAAACAGCTTGCATCCATATCTGCTTGGAATTCCATAGCGCTGGCGCTTTGTTAATGAATTTCCAGCTATGTCTAGTTGATGTGTTGCGGTTTTATCAACTAGCTCCTGCACTTTCTATTTGTATGAGGAGATGCTTCAGTTTTTCATTGTGTGTTAACACAGTCAGTATTGTTCTCCTTGTCATCTTATCTGAAGTGCCATAATGGCATTATGGTATCTGTCTCCTCCATTCAGAACTGTTTTAATTTTTGTCGTCTTCTTGTCGATCTCGACAATCTTTTCTCTGTTATGCTCTTAGCTGCCAGAAGGCGGGAAACAGGTTCGATGGATCGATGGCCAGCCAGTTGATACGTGCCATCAAATTCCATTCACAATATGTTGATAGCAGATGGTGCGTCGAAGTAATTGATGCTAACTTGGGGACTTTCAGCGTTGGCACCGGTTTTTGCCAAATATGAGTTCTGTCTCCTCGTATATGAATAGGATAGTCAGGCGATGAATATATCAGCGTTTGAGTTTGATCATCGAGACAAGAAGGTTGCCGTTTGCAGATAACCTTGTTTTGTCGGCATTTTCTGAAACTGATCGACGGGGCTACCTTGAAAGGTTCGCAACCGAATGCGACGTGGTCGGCATTTGTGCGAACGCATCTAAAACGAGAGGCCTAGCGCTTTCTCGTATTCCTGCCCTTTGCTCTCTCTAAGTAATCGGAGAAGCAGTGGAGCAGGTTGAGAAATTAAAGAACGGGTGAGTCGTGTTTACGGGTGATGGAAAATTGGAGGAAGAGATCGAGTGGCAGATTCAAGTAATCCACGGTGTTCTGGGTGAATTAACCCAAGCCGTTATGACTATAATAGAGCTGAGTTGAAAACTAAGCGCTTGGTGTTGAAGTTGATCTTCATCTTTCTGCTGACCTACGGTCATGAATCGTGGACCATCACTGAATTACTTCGATCCCAAACACAGTCGGATGAAATGAGCTTTCTGAGACAAATGGCTGGGTCCACTTGCCTCGACGCGAGAGAACGCGTGACCGGAGTTGAGATTTCCGAGAAAGCCTTGGTGGCGAAGTTCATAAACCTCGGGCTTGCATTAGCTGGTGATAGAAAATGATAGGAATTGACCGGCGTATGGGAACGGCCATCGACATTCTGCCTAAACTATTCGGAGTCATTGTGATTGAGGTAGAGCCGAGTCTGAAAATGAAGGCCTGTCTTCAAGTTGATTTTCAACCCGATGATCATCTATGGTTAAAAACGTGGGTCATGATTAAAAAATTGCGATCTCGGGTAAAACTGGTGCCTCAGACGAATTGTTTGACACACGCCTCTCCATTGAATGCTGTATTCGGGTATCATTGTAAACACTTGCGTACAGTCGATCTTTTTTGCCAACTGCCAGAAAGCCCGGAGATGCCCAAGAATCACAAAAGGCAATTACTCAACGGTATTTACATGGTCGATGCCGTTTTGTGTAGATTGCAGAAAAGAAATCAGATCAAGAAAGAATGTTATGTCTGGCTTGGCAAGTGAAAATGTTTTGAAACAAGAAAGTCAGGCCATTTTACAGGTCTACAAACGACAGTAAGAATCTGCATACATGTGAATCAACTATACTGTATCACATCTGCTATTAGAGGTCTTTATAGTGCGCTTCGCTGTATCGATGGATGCCTGAACGGCATTTGAGCCGGATGAAAATTCGTCGATGTTACGGTTTTGAGGGTTTCGGCTGACTAGGAACTGGCAACACTAAGGTGTTGATATTTTCATCGATGCTTGTCGGCAGTCGGCATACGTTTTCTATGGTTCCCTCTCGCCTTCGCGTGAACTTTACGGTCGTTTGTGCGCTGGCTTTAGGTGAAACGGTGGCGCAGTTGGGGCGACGATGTCGCGACATCATAATTTTTGCTTTTTTACCGACTCCACTGCGTTCTTTACATACACCGATGGCCGTCGCTGTTACGACGCATAGTCTGCCGCAATTATTGATCACTCGGTTGTCGCGTCGCGCTTCTTCGCGGGAGGACAGGTTTTAATGTGGGTTTCGGCGAGCAGACTTTCAAGATGTCAGAGGGTAGGTGCGGAGGAGGGGGCAGCGAATCTGGCGCAGTTTCAACGCGCCGATGTCTGACTTTTCATCATCGTTCGTCGTTCTCCTCGCCAGCGCGGATCCATTTTTTCGCATTCCGTCCGAACGACGCAGCGCGGTTGAAAAAGTGCCTCTGCTGCCTTATATATATATACCTGCTCCATGCTTTTCGGCCAAAGTTGAATGTTAACGAGGAAGATTTCTTTTCGACCTCTGGGCACATGCTTCTCTTCTCATTGTCCACTTCTATTAGTCACCGATGGTCAGCTGACGGCGATCGCGTCGGTCATTCTAGTCGTCTACTGATGATCTTGTCTTCACACTGTTTCACTCGATCATCTTTTCAAGTTTGACGGGGTTTCACCTCCATTTAATCCCCTAAGAATTGTGCCGAAGACCTGTGGTCAACTGGCACCATCTTTGTAGTATATTTTTCGTTGTTGCAAAGTACATAGGTTAAAGCTGCGATGTTTACATAGCGCTGGTTCTGCTACGTCGTCAGTTGTCGAATGCTGTCCCTGATTTCCGTCTAATGACCTTTCGTCGTTCATTTGCACCGTCCACGACACGAACGAGCCACGTGCTTCTGCAGTTGTATGAGGTCGAATTTATGGTTCGTTGTTCGAGCCTCCGAGTTTTGTTTTGAATGACTTCCTCCGTATGTGTATTTTCTTCTTCGATACTCTCGTTCCTCGTTAATTTTAGTCCTACTGTTCTTTTCGGCATAGCAATACTCCTTCCTGTTACGCGCTGCCTAGGCTGATGATCTTTTGCTTTTCTTTATGGACATTTCTGACACCTACCTCTGCTGAGATTTTGCTATTGTTTTTGTCATATGTCAGATGTTATCAGATGTCGACAGTTTTCTAGCGGTGAAACAACCTAACTGTTTTTTGTTTCCTGTTCCCTCTGTAAGTCCTCTTGCGAGTGAAGCTTTCGTGCTGTCACAGAAAAAAATATTCGCAAAAAGTCTACATGTGCTGAGATTGAGGTACTGAAAGAATGAAGTGACTGGAGAATTGAGGTAAAACTTAATCGACTTAAAGCTGGTCCGTAGAGGATCTTGGTTCTATCGCCGCCTTTTCGTCGCCTGACCACCGTCCTGCATTCAATCCTGAATTATGTCGTCGTTTTGCCAGTTAAGCGCAGATGAAAAATCAATAGGCAAAGTGACGTTGTTGGTAGAGGAACTGCTTCACTCTCCCGCTTTTGCTCGTACACTCGTTCGTTCGGTCGGTCGGTCGGTAGGTTGGTCGGCTGTTTAGTCGATTGGTCGGTCGTTCGGTCATTGTGTTCTTCGGACGGACGGACGGACGACGACGATAATTGGTGGCGACAGCGACAGCAACGGCGGCAGTGGTGGTCGTAAGCAGCTGCTTCGCGGCCGGAGGTTTGCGATGTGCCTCATCTGCTGTACTCTGTTTTTCTCCACACTGCCCCCTGAAATAGCCAAGCGTCTCTGTCCTCATTGCGGTCTTCCCGATAGCCTTGCGATTTGCCTCCCTACCCTCATTTTGGTGCTTATTTCTCTTTCTGCCCGTTTTCCTTCACACCTATTCGTTTTTGCCTTCTTAATTGCAGAACTGCAGCCATCAGGCAACTTTTTGCCTAAGGTTTCTTGCTCGCCGATGTTCCCAGTTTACAATCGCTGGAATTTTCCTTTCCTTCGTTTTTTGCCTTCCGAGTCCTTCTGCCGTTATTTGTTACTGTTGAACTGTTTACATTAAATGGACGTTTCTCCTTTGTAATATCCGTTACAGTCTGATCTTTCGAATACTCTTGATATATGGCACTGGGGGCAGTGTCTACGGAGTAGTTTCTTAAAGGCTGATGTGCCTTGTTTGCCAATTTTTCATGTTAATATCTTGGCTGACGCCTGTCATGTTTCAGCTGCTACATAAGAAGTTCATAGACTGTGATAAATGGTTTCTGCTCAACCAGCTTGTCTAACAGGACCGACTTTTTTTAATTTTTACGACGCTTGAAACTCCATCACCCGGAAGAAAATGGAGTCACTTGTCTTTGCT